ATACAAGATCACAGGCCACCATCAACACATTTGCATCAAGCAATGCAGCCTTTAACCAGGCTTTCGTGCAAGCCATGACCAAGTTAGGCAGAGTTGGGGTTCTGACTGGAAATCAAGGTGAAATTCGGAGTGATTGCACCCGTCCAAACTAGAACAATGGAGTACCATTAGGATAGCTTCATCTGGATTTTACCTCCATGCTATTTTTATAATGATTTAATTTTTTTTCTGGACTTGTAAATTCTTGGAGTATCATAAATTGTTTGTATGATGGTCAAGATGTTTGAGTTTCATTCATTCGAAGACTATACGAATACAATTAGCACACCTCTGCTTAGTTGTGCAAGGAATGTTCAAGTGGCTCAAATAATACATTCTAGCAGTTGAATTAAACTGGAAGACTTGAACAGGTCTCATTAGAGCCATCCAAGTTTGAAGAGAATCAGTCGGATGATAAATTGATAATTAATTATATATTATAGAGGGACTAGTATGCAAATAAATATTTTGAGAAAAATATATGGATGACCATCCTCATTCACTTCCTTATCAAACCTGTTTCTCTGAATGATTGTTCTGAATGAAATTATATTGAACAACTAATGGACTGTGATATCCCATTTCCCATGCCCCATGCAGGCCTCTTTTTGCTATATATATATATATATTTCTTAAAATCATCTTTTGTTGCTAGCTTAAGTGATTAAGAATGTTTACCTGCACCCGAGGTTCTATCTTCAAATCCTCCCTCCATCTTGTATAAAAATAATAATAATTAATAATCTCTTTTTTGGCTGCCTTTTCTTCATATTTCATCACAATCTTGATCAACATTATAATTTCAAAATTAAAGAGTTTAAACACCAGTTGGTAACTGCCAAGACAATGACCACTTGCAACTTTAATTAAGTTGAAGGGACCCTTGCAACAGCAAAGACAGGGTTCTATTGATTGATCTACTCTTATTCTATTTACCTACAATTAAGCTGATTGATTGAATAGTCAATAGAATAAATTTAAGTGAGACTAGATCAATCAATTATCTTAATTGTATGCAAGTAAAATATGGATAGTTAAAGTAAAAACATATCGATCAACATGTTCCTATTGAAGATAATTAATCATCCTCTCTTTTCAGTCTCATCAACAATTTCAAGGACTCAATTGTTCAAAACTGGAGTTATTTTGTGGTGCAGGTGATCATATTGGTTAACATGAGCCATGAGTTTAGTATGGGCTTTCACAGGTGATCATATTTGTTAACACGAGCCTTGAGTTTAGTATGGGCTTTCACATTGATGGCATGAGTTTGGGAAGGGACATGACCATACCCGCTTCAAGGAAACTACAATGAGGGGTAAGAATGAGGGGTCCTTAATAACCGTCTGATTAAGTGCTGAGTTATTATTGGACTGCTGGATTGAACCCCCCAATATAAGCCCTCAACACAGCCTACCTGCTTAGATTCTTGGCAAAACGTCACTTTTAGTCCCTGTGGTTTGTCACTTTTACCACTAAAGTCCATGTGGTTTCAATTTGAAGCAATTTAAGGACAATCCTCAATTTCTGTCAAATTCTTTTAACTTCTATTACTTATGGAGGGGTAATTTAGTCAACAAGTTATTAAAAAATTAATTCTTTTAAAAATAAACAATACAAAATGGAAAAATTAATAAATAAAAAATATATCTTCTTCTCCCCTCCCTAGAAGCCTTCATCACTCTCTGCTGATAAATTATGAGCAATGTGGTATTTTGCTTGCACTCAATTTTTTGGGCTAGACTTGAGACAGAGAGATAGGTGGGGTGTCTTGAGAAGTTTTGTGGTGGGAGGGTGGTAAGAGTTGGTTGCTGGGTGGGTGATATTGGGTAGTGGCTTGTTAGATGGTGGTAATGGTGGGAGGGGGAGGGCACGATAGTTAAAAAGGAATGAATTTTATTTATTTATTATTATTATTTTCCATTTTATATTTGTTATTTTAAAAAGGAATGAATTTTTTAATAATTTGACCGAATTGCCCCCTCACAAGTAACGGTAGTTAAAAAAATTTAACAAAAATTGAGAGTTGTCCTTGAATTGCTTGAAATTGAAACTATAGGGACGAAAATGTTCAAATTGAAACCACAGAGACCAAAAATGACTTTTTGCCTAGATTATTTGGTTTGTTTATGGGCTTGGGCTCACCCGAGCACCCAAAAAAAAAAAAAAGAGAATTCTCAAATTCCCAATTACCAATCCTGGTTTGCTTCATTGATTTAAGTGATTTTAAGTGATTCTTAGCAAAAGCACCTCCCATGTGTTTCTCTATAAAATTATTTAAAATAACTTAAAGTAATTATTTGGAGAAGTGATTCTTCGTATAAGTGATTTTTGACTTATCCAAAATCACTCGCAAACAAGCCCTTAATGTGCTTTTAATTTAGCTTTTGCTAAATCTATAAAGATCATATTTCCGTTCTTCAGGACCTACAAGCAAATCTATAATGATCATATTTCCAAATGGGTTTTAGGTTTATTCACTCATTTTGTCTATAGGATGAGGATAGGGATAAGGATTGCATTGCTAGGGACACCAAATGTGCCATATTGTTACTCTTTGTGTAATTACCAAATCTGTAACATCATTAATCTTTATTTTATTAAATTGCCATGTGTATTAAGGAGAGTATTTTTGTTTGCCACTTTAACCTAAGGTATATCCTCATCATCCTTGTCAACATTTGACATGTGTACATATGTATAACCATGGTTCCATAAATACAAGGTAAAAAGTTAACCATAAGCCTATGAACACGTGTCAAGTATTAAGAATTGTGGTGAGGATACACCTTGGGTTAAAATAGTGAGCAAAAATATTTCCTATATTAAGGGGTAATTAAGTTTTTTTAACAAAAAATATATAATCTATTTATTTTATATATCTATCTTTTATATATAAAAGAAAAGGCAGAGAATGGTGAAACATTCAAAATACCAGAAAATGCCCTTGATTAGTTCAAACATTAAGAATTGAAATTATTAATTAAATGAGGATAATACGGTAAATTCACATTTTATATATTAAAAACATTAAAATTAAAAATAAAATTAGATAATAAGTCCTACTTTTATGGAACATAAATACCAATATTATCTTTTCTTAATTCTAAAAATAAAACCAATTCGCATGTGCCAACGGGCTAAGTATATATAACCTATAATCGCGGGTCCAAGTTCTGTTGTTAACCCTTATTACTTGGACTTTTTTGGGCCTGCATGCCCTTGTGGGTCTAAGTTCTGCAAGTTGTATTGTTTTTCGCCTTTAAAAATTATATAAATAAAAATAAATAAATAAATAAAAGAAAAGAAAAGAACATCACCATGTTATGTTACGGCCTTACCATTGTCACCATGCTGCCTCGTCCTCCTCCGGCACCTCATCATTGGACCTAAAACCCAGTTTCCTTTCAGCACTTTCAATCAAGTTATATCTGTTAATGAGAGGGGATGTTCACCGGATATGAATTGAAAATTTGCAGTTGGCTATGGTGGTGCTTCAATGACCGATTGTTACTCAACTACTTTGCCGCAAATTGTGAACCCAAGGAGAAGTATTTGCAAGAGATTTTGTATGTTTATTTCTATTATATTTTCTAAAGCATCAATATTAAACTGGACTTAAATACATGGACAGGCATAAGATAGATGCCACCAAGGATAAAATTATTTTGGACTTATTGAAGTACACAAGGTTGTACAGCTCAAAATTCTTGTTCTTTTTTCTTTTCGTTGGTGACGAGAGGGATTAGAGGAAGCACAATGCAAAACGCTTGAAACCTGTCGGAGACTACAATTAAGGGTAATTCAACTTCAATCATACTATTATAGAAGATGCATTTTGTGGTAGTGTTCTGTTGGTGATTGGTATGGGAAGTGCAAGATACTGAAGTCTTCCTTGTGCAAGAAGAAAAGATACAGCAATGTTCAACTAATAAGGCCAGCAAACCAAGTGAAAGGAAAAACTAGTTTCTATCATCTCACAGATGTAAGCTTACCAATCTTGAACTTAGGCAAGGAGCATTAGAATGCAGCAGCATAAGTAACAAAGAAACAATCTTGTGTTCAACAGAATTACGCACCGGAGACTGTCAATTACCTCTGGCCAAGCAGATCTTCTACTTATTTTGATGGATCAAGAAGAAACCAACAGACAATCTGTGTGCTGCATGTTTCATTATTAATGGTAGAGGGGTGCTATATTCAATGGTTCAATAGGAATAGGAAGCAACTATGCTTCAATACTCAGCAAGAGCAGCATGGTGAATGGGGCCAAGGAGCCAATACAAAGACAAGGAATTAGCTATATAAAAAGTGATTTAAGAGATAAACTTCTAAGTCCAAAGGGTACATTGCTTTTATATAATTTTCTCTTGTCTCTCGGATAATGGGGGAGGCTATGAATCTTATGATGGATAAGGAAACAGGAGCAATAACAACAAAACAATGCATCTTTTTATATACTGAGAAAGAGGCATCATATGGATTAGCAGTCAAAGACAAATACCAGGTGACAAATTGGAATTTAACATGTTCTTAACTTGTCCCACCTTGGATTTACAGAAAATTGATATCTTGCAAGAGGCTCAATTATTGTCATTTCTACATTTCTGGTTGGCTTATCTGTGATGTATCTCTTTCGAAAGTAACTTAGATAACTTACGAAAATTCTTGCCGTGAGTTAGTCATAATCATCACTTTTATGTGCTTCAAAGAACTTAAGAATTCTGACCAAAAGAAAAATAACTTTAGAATTATTGTTTCTCTTTCATTCTCAGACCAAAAAAGGAATAGAAAATTCAGTCAAATGTCTAACTTCTTATAGTTGGAACTTCACCTTGTTCTGGACACCGTAGCAGGGTGGATGGCCGCGTCCCTTCCCTCAATAAGCAACGTTTTCTTTGTTTGCATAGATGCGAAAGAAGATAATGAACCAATGGACAGAAAGATGGAGTAAAAAAAGGTTTGCAAATGTCCTATTTACACCGATGTAATGCATGAGAATATTATCTCAATTGTCCATTTATTAAGGTGACAACTTAATTAGAATTTCAATAATGTAGATTTGCCAAGAAACGCGCACGCAAATTGAAGTATTAGTCCTATTTGAGCTTTAAACCATGGAAAAGCCAATGTGGCTGCTTTCTTTCCTGGTCAAATGTTGCACTAGAGCTGCTCATGGGAGTTGTGGGATCACTGCAGTCTCCTCCTCTATCTGATTTGAATGAGGCAGGCGAATCGAGGTCCGTTTCTTTATGGATCAGCTCAGCACATCCTAGCTGAGGCTGGTAAGATTTTGATCTCTTCTTGTTCTTGCTGCTTCCAATGCTTAATGTAAGCTCCACTTCACTGTCTTCATCACAGCCAGCTATGCTCATATTTCTACTTTTGAAGGCCATGTGAGAGCTTGGCCCTGCTTGTTCTTGGTCAATTGTACTGACTCCTGTTGACATGTCTTCCTCGGCAGGCCTTTCAAGGTCAAATCCCCTTGACATTCTCAGGGTGTCTCCGGAGCAACTTCCACTGCCCTCTCTAGAGATCGGATCATCTCTCAACCTCTGAAGATGGAAATTATATCCAGAAGAAGCTTGAGTTGTTGAATGCTGCCAGTTAATCAACTGAGAATGGTTAATGTGATCTGCACTACTAGTCACCGGCCCCCGAAATATGTTCCGTTTCATCTCTTTTTTCAGTTCATCCATTAGCATCTTTTGTACACTGTACAGTCGGTGTAGCTCTCGAATCTGCAATATTTGGTTTTCGGTTAGCATGGCTGTCATCAGTTTCAAAGTAATGAATTTATTAGACAAGAAAAACAATCTGATTGGACGAGTACAAGACTTGGGATCTAATAAGCAAAAAGGGTGTCTTTGAATTGTGTATTGGAATAATTTGACTGATTTGCTTATCCAGCAAGATATTGTTGGTTTCACTTAAAATTGGTCACTGTCATCATTTACTTAAGGGGTTAAATGAGAAGTTGATGATGTTGGTGAACCAATAAGCCTGAGATCTGCAACAGGGACTTCCCAGCTGTACAGATATTATTTACATGGAGAAGCTACTTTCCATGAAACTCAAAAGAGTTCATGCTTCATGGAACATGGATCAACATACAATTAATTTAAAGTGTAGCACAGAAACATAATATTCCTCATACCTGGTGTTTAAAGGTATCTTCATGCATCTGCATTGTCTTTTTTATGGTATCTATGTTGTGCTTGTCAAGCATCCTGTCCATTGAGTTCCGAATTTTGTCCTCGGTTCTAGCCTTCTTATACTTCTCCTTCAGCCCACTTTTCTGAAAATAGTCCCAGTCATCCACACGATGCACGGTTAAGCTGCTGCTATTTTCTGAGGTTCCTAATATATTGATGGCGTATTCAATTTTGGTTCCCATGCCTGAAGTAATATGCCAGTAAAAAAATGTTGGTAACTACAGAGAAACATATATTTTGAGGAAACACACAGAACTGTTGCTATTGTATAGTGAGAGCTACCACATTGGGCTGTCATTTGTTTTCAATTTTGACAGATAATGAGTATCATTTTAGGATACTAATTATAATGTAAAAATTCATGGACAAAACAAAGCAAAAATCAGAAAGAACAAAAAAAATTACTGGCTTCAGTGGAGTAGGTGTGATATATGAAGGCACTAAGTGATGGTGGAAACATAGTCTAGTTGGACAACAAGTCTACCAATCCTACTACATCTAAGCACCAAGGAATAATCTGGCCATTTTTGAATTATCTTCAAATCCAATTCCTAGTTCTAACCCATCTAGGTAGTGGAAGTCATCTCTCAAATTCACTGACACTTTGCTTTATATACTACATTTTGCTCCATGATCTTATTGGTTCCCCTTTTGGTGTGCAAATGCAGGCCGCATTTAGGAATAGGATTAGTTTACTACATGAAACAAAACAGCAAGTTTCAAGGTGTCGAATGAAGGATGAACAAAAGGAATGGCTCAGACTTGTGTCTCAGGAGGCCCGAAAGCGTAATCGGAAAGTTGCCAAACATAGGAGGAACAAAAAGAAAATGGGATGTGGGCAATAGTGAGACCAAATATGGAATGTGGTTGGTTTACCCTATTTTGATTTGTTAGTACATTTCTGCTGTTGTCATCACCGGCCATAACAGTCAGCCTTCATTTTGATGAAATTGCTCTCGAGAAGTGTCCACTTCTTCCTGTTTCTTTTGAAAGTAAGCCTCTATGCTAAATCCACATGGCGAAATCAGACAAGAGGCATATAATTATTTCATGGAGATCACAAGTCACAGCATGAACAAAATAAAGCTAAAACGCATGAAATAAATCAGTCAACTATAAATGATACTCAGGGAGAGACAGAGAGAGATTTGTCTATCTTTAGAAGAAGAAAAAAAAAGGATCTGTTTCACCTTCAAATGTTTTCGCAAATAGAGATATATCTCTATTCATGTACAGAAAACTAACTAATAATCAAGAATTGTCAGTTCCCAGAAGAGCAGAACTTCCAAAGATGGCAAAAACATAAATTTAAAAAAAAAAAACAAGAAAATCAGCATCATGGGTTCATTACCATATTGTAATCAAACCTTGAAAACTTTCCGTACACAGTTCAGGTTTGGTACCTGAAGCAGAAACAGCAGAGGTGGAGATTCTCTAGCATGAGGCTCATTGAAAACTTTGCTTCTTCATGCCAAAACCAGCCTCATCCATAAGCTGCTATAATTGGCAATCCAAATCCCAATAAGTACAGAGAAAATTGGCTTATTCCAAGCATCCATCAATATCATCAGTCATTGATCTTCCGTACTAATTGGAGTGGACGGAGCACTCTAAGAAGTGCAGCTAGCAATAATTTAGAAACCTAGTAGTCCTGGTGTGAACTGGGAGAAGATTCCTGGACACCTCTACACCAGCAAATCTCTTTGGCAGGGCAAGGCAGGCCAATATTAATTTTTCCCAGGCTCACTGATCACTATACTTTAATTTAGGGAAACAACAAAGCAACAACCTCCCCTTTCTCACTCCTCTCACTAAATTAAAAAACTGTTAATCATGTTCACGGTCATGTTAATAATTCAGGTTTGACAGGCTGTGAAGTTAGGAGGCATGGAAAAAAGTTAGACTATACCAATGTCTTGGTGTGCACAATATTCATATTCACATAGAGAGAGAGAGAGAGAGAGAGAGAGAGAGAGAGAGAGAGGGACAGAGAGTGCTGTTAATTTGTTAAATATTAATTAATCATACATAGTATTGTTTGATGCTGCTGTATTTTAATTATATATTGAATTTGTACTTGTACATACTTGTGATGCATTCAATTGTAACATGGAGGAAGATCAAATTTGTGGGGCCCACAGAAGAGTGATATATAAAATAAACCAAATGACAAGCCTAATACATGGGCCAAGGTAGGCCAGTGAACAAGATATTCCAGACAAAGTCTTACAGAACATCAAGATTTGCATGAACTTTGATGAGCTTCCTTCTCAGAACAACACCATCTTATATGTCTTATTTTGTTATGCAAATTCAAAGATCTCTGTTTGATTATTATCTCCGTACTAAGACACCATATCTAGTCCAGGGTTGCAATTCAGATTTTCTAGGTTGTACTAATGCTGGAGTTTTATAATTGTATTTCATAATTACTGTAAACTTTCTTCTCTGGCATGAGCAGTAAATTTTCTTCTTAGACGCTTGTATTAATCTTCATATTACTGTAAACTTGATATACGTTGTTGATCTATTCTCTGACAACTTAAATTTTTGAGGTCGTCTAACAGATGGTATCATCAAAGCTAACCCATACAACTACTAAATTTAATTTCGAACATTTACATCTTCCCTGACATGAGCCAACTGGTAGTAACAGCACACCACATAATTCTTTTTTCTTCAAATAAAAAACAAGGCATGATAAATTATTAAATCTAAACAGAAAAAATAAATTGTGGAGACTATTCTTGTTAAACAGGTATTGGCAGCTACCACGAACACCCTTGGCTAAGGTTGCATCTGAGTTAATGCATTGTGTATGGGACCATAAACTGAATTAATTAAACCAGCGAACCACAGTTCCAAATTAACTTTTTGGATTCTTTAAGTAGGAAAGGATAGGGTAGAAAACAATCTAATCTTGTAGTCACAATCAAAACCAGAAAACCATATCCATGCACAGTACTAATAAAGGGTAATTTTCAGTGGTGCAGAAAGGATTAAGAAACTAAATCCATGATGTTAAGTGTAACCTAAACACCACCGTAAGTAACCAATGCCCATCTCTCCTTGTGAACCCATCATTAAATTAAGAAAATAATAATGATCAACTCTTATTCATTCCTTTAAAAGTAAGAAATAGATGGCATGGCCTAAAGATATCTGTACTTTTACTTATCTAACTGAGAGATTAATCTAAAAAATAATGGACCAATGTTTGAATGAGAGTGATTAAAAACCATATAGATAGAGATTAGTGGTGATAAGAGATGGAGGAAAGGGGAACTTGGCACACATCACTTTCAGCAAAAAGATGGAAGGGCCAAAAACATGGCTGTTCCAAGCACTTAAAAATCCAACAGGCACCTTCAACTACAAGTTCTGATTCTGTGATATATATATCACAACATGTCTCATGCCTTGAGAAGAAGTTAGGAGGACATTAATTAAATACATAATTTTCTTTTAAGTTTTTTTAATTGTAAATACAAGCGTTAGTTTAAACTATAAGAAAGAAGGGATTTTACACACATACATACTACTATGATGTTATTAATATTCAAACTTAAAACCACTTATCTGCAAGTTAAGAAGCTTTTTCTTTTAAGTTTTAATTTGATCTTGATATCAATCTATGTATATAATAATATGTAGATGTGGATGTGGATGTGAATTTTTTTTTTTTTTGGTGAAGATGTGGATGTGATTTTGAATGTGGGCATGCCTTCTCTTTTCTTGTCTTGTACTTTGTTTATTGGCTTTCCGAATATCCTGTGGTAACATGGGTTTGGTCATCATCTGTGATTGACTGTGACCCCATTATTGCACTCATTTTCATAGAATTCATGCACGCGCCTGAACATGCACTACTTGCTCCCACACGAATGTGTCTTGCTCTTACCTTAATCCATCATGCGTGTGGGATATGTGTAAAGTTCGGATCGCAAGTTAACTCTTGGTGTAATGGTTTTTTTTTTCTTCAGAATATTGAAATAAATTTAAGTTTTGAATCTCTCTCTCCTTCTCTTTGATATAAAAAAGAAATTTGGACTTTCTTCTTATTTTCTATATACTAATAATATTATGTACATGTCGAAAGGGCTTATTAGGTTGTAGCTCAAGTTATTAGAAGCAATTACCTATGCATCTGAGGTTGTATGTCCGAATCTCTCCACTTCCATATCGAACAATTGAAGATGGTTATCGCGCAATTATCCCTCCAACTTCTTATATAATGTGCTTTTTTTAAGTATTGGATTAAAATTGAGGAAAACTATAAGTAGATTGAAGTTTTCTCAACACATCCTTAAAGAGAAGAGGTCTTGCACAGAAAATTTCTAAAATCATATGTACATAATTATAACCTAATTGACAACTAGACAATATGACATGTTATACTATTTGATGAGAAATAGACATAGAATTTGATGGAGAATATCTCATGCCCGGATGCTTCCCCAAGGAGAACAACTTTTACTTATATTTTAAATAGTTTTGTGCTTTATGTACCGGTGTATTTGATCTGTAAGCTTACAATGCAGTGAGTGTTGTTCATTCTCTGCTTGGTCCGTAGTCCTACAAAGTTTCTTAAACAATCAATAAAATTACTGCGTAATCAAATGATACCAAACAATAAATAATTAATATATTATTGGTAAACTATTAATTTGTGAAAAAAATCCAACCTGGGACGGCTACACTACATGCATTATATATGGGCGGTTTTGGGTTGGCCACGTGAACCATCCACATGACACATAATATCATCGCATTTTAAATAAAAATAAATTCTATGACCTATGAGAGAGAGAGAGAGAGAGAGAGAGAGAAATCTAATTCCATTTTTCTTGGAGACGATGGTGTCATTTCCTAATTCCTAGCTAGCTCTCTAGATGTGTGATCTCATTATATTGGGAATCTAGTCCCTTTCGCTCCACTTGGCATGAAGCGCTGAGTGTGTACACATTTCAGGGCTCATTGGTTGCTAACAAATTTGATTATTATTAAGAAAGAATCCAATAAACTTGACTTGCAACACTACTTTCCTTCAAATGTCATGTCAGTTGTTTTGTCGGTGTATGCGGACGTGAACACTGCGAAGGGAATGAACCCAAACCCCATACCTATTTTTAGTTTCTCCGATGTATACGTGGATTAATGTTGTTCATTAGACATCGATTGCACTTTCATCTCGTGACGGATTCAAGAATTTTCTTTCTAAGGTTAAGGTGAAATCTCGAATGTTACTTTGTCTAGGGATTAAAGGCATTTAACAGACAAAATTAAGAACATACTAGCTGTACATACAGACTGACCTATAATGGAGTCAATGGTGTCAAACGACTTCATAAACTACATGAAAATAAGCTCGAAGGTCTCCTTAAGCTGACTGTGCGACCCCATATATGCCCTCCACCTATTTTCTATTTGACTCGAACGAAATGGCTGCTGTGTGAGGAAGAATGTTGGGCAAAACGACATCTGGTTTGGCTTATTGGGTCGGGCCGAAGTGGGACTAATTTGTGTTTCCAATTTTTATTTTTATTTTTACTTTCCTGAGAGACTTACCTTATTTTCATTTTCAGCATTTAAGTAAATGTCTTTAACCTTTTATTTTCATTTATTTTTATATTACTTCATTTACTTAAGTTTACAATATAAATAAGGAAGTACTCCCATTTGGATTTAAATAAAAATACTATAAAATCAAATTCCCACCAAATCAAAATATGAAAAATCAGTTTTAGTGCAAAATACTATTTAGGCTAAAAATGATGGCTCATTAAGTCAATATATACTTAATACCAAATCCCATAAAATCAAGTTTTCTTATTTGATGTGTAAGGAATAAAAGCCGCAAAAAATTATCTTAACTTTTCTTATTCTGAAAAATAATTTTTCATACTAAAATCCCAAAAAATTATCTAAAATTCACAATAATAAATTAAAAATTAGTAAAATACAACAAAAATTCATATGAACTCCCTGTGACATTCTCTTCATCATAAAGCTCCAATTAGGTTTATACAATCTGAATATAAATATCAAATGGTGTAGCATATAATCACAAAGTTGTCTATATGATGGTGGATAAGGTGTGGGAGATGGATGAAAGTGGTAGGGGTTCAGAACCCCTTATGTGATTCTCCATTTCCTTTCATTTTTTAACAAGAGAGAAGGAAATATAATAAGTTATATATAATACCCAATATGAATTATAAATAAACGTACTAAAGTTTTATTTTTAAAAAAAATTTAGAACTTTTACACTATAACCCCATGAGGTAAGATTTCTGAATCCGTCATTGATTGTACACATTTGAGTTGGTGGTCCATCGAATCCATTGTTAAAGATAATTTGATTGATTGAGAACCGTGATGCGTATTGGTCCACTTAGTTGATCTTAGGTTGGAGAAAGCTCCATGGGTAGTAGTACTAGATCAACGTCCATGATCGTGATACGAATTTTCATTTTGGGAAATCAAATTCTTGGCTGATAGTGGGGCTCTTGATTCTTTTATTATGGCCACAGAATCACAGCATGCGGACCCACAATGGCAACTCCTATTGCAAAAGTAGACAATTTATTCTGTATAGACTTAGAACTGTAGAATCTTGGCTTTAGTATCTATCGGGCTAGAGCTAATTAAGCTTTGAGCTCAAGACAAGTTGGATCAGGCTGTGCTGAAGCTTGAATTAATATACGTTCCAAAATTCGAAAAATACAATTCGAGCCATATCCAAAATCGACAAAAACATTTTGAGCGATTAACAGTTGTTGATCGACCACTTTAGAAGACACTCTAAGATGGCATGTTGAGTCTCAACATTGATAATTTACTGGATCAATTTGGATTTTATAGCGTCGAAGTGTCGTGTGCTTCTTTAAGTCGTGACTAT